CACGGTTTAAGTGCTATCACTCTATCAAGAACCAAGTGGATTCATCTTCATTATGTTCCATGGTTGGCATTGATAACAGACAAATTGTCTCTAAATTGCCGCTATTAGTTAGTATCTAGTATGATTTTATTTCATCGTTTTCCTGCGTTTTCTCTATCAAGAATATGAAACAATCCAAAAATCTAGGAGAAAAAATTGGAAAAAKGAATTTAATTAAATTGTTTTGGATAAGTGAGCGGGAATCCTGTGGTGCTTCGCGTCTGACCTTTTGCCCTTGTCAAGTTATTAAATAAATCACACACAGAATAACACTAAGCTAGGGAACGTAGAAGAGGCACTCCTTGAAACACTTCTGCTTAAACTAGCATGAAAATCTTAGCTCTTGCGCTGGCTTTCAGCCTTTTAAGCCTTTCCTACTGTAGTCTTTCGAATGAATATCAAAACAGTGTCCAACTCGATGATCTGGGAAAAACATATATGTTGTACTGGACCAACAAGCCATCCGATGGAATGATGYATTTTGCCGTTGAAGTGAAGACGACTGGTTGGGTAGCCTTCGGATTTGCAAATAAAATTGGAATGATGAAAGGGTACGACGTTATGATTAGCTATATAACTGACGGCAATGAGATTGAATTCAATGTAAGTAAATATTTATGAATAGCTTTGTGCATAGGATTAAGTAACGAAGTAAAGCAGATAATAAGGCATTTAAGCTTTATGTAGTCTTTAAAGGAAATAAGGGAGGGGAGGGAGGGTATTTGTAGGTCCAAAAATACTTTTAAGTCTTTAAAAAGTCTTTCTTTTTTGGCGTGTTTTTCATCAAATTGGATTTATACCGAATACACCATTTACAAGACAAAATACTGTTTGTCATGTCGTAGCTTTGTACCATTAAGTAAACATAATTACATTCTTTCTTTGTCTGGCTTTGTTTGTGCGTGACTGGGTAGCCATGTTACAGTAACCTGTGTTTTATAGGAAAGACCGGATGCAGCAGAGGCTATATTTTTGAGGAACGAATCTGCGCGTACTACTGAACTGGTATTMATATTTGAGTAGCTGAAGCTCTTTTGACTAAGTACGCCCCGGTACAAGGGTCTCGCCCGCTCCGTACTTGCTTATTTTCTTCTCAATCACAACAATTGCTTCGGAGAAAAATTCATAATTCGTTTGCCAAACTTTTGCTGACCATATATGAGTGTCTCAATGGGGGGGTCCGCATCACGACTCACGGCTAAAAATTTGGCTTTTTCACGCCTCACGGCTAATTTTTTTCACATTTCCACGACTCACGGCTAATTTTTCAGCCGTTTCACGGCTAATTTTTCTCATTTTTACGATTCACGGCTAATTTTTTAGCCGTTTCAGACGGTTTTTAGACGGTTAACCCCATTGAGACCCTCATATATGGTAATCTTACCTCATAAGGAAGTACGCTAGAAAGTTTTTTTCAAGTTTTTTCGTGCTTAAATGACTAAACACTTACAGAATTTGCAGAGAAATTGCTTTTCAACATGTCGGCTATTTCAACTTTGTCCTAGTCCCCTCCCATCCTTGAAAATAAGGGATCCCACAAAAAAAAACACAGGCAGCCCGCGCGAATGTTAGACAAGTTTTGATATGTTTCCCGACTTTTTTAATTTTTAATTCTTTTATTTTTATTTATTTTGACATCTGGGAGTCCAAAGAGAGTCCGCCCTGCTCGCATGTACATGTCTAACTCAGACCCCACGCTCCTATTAGCCAGAGAGAATATCGTATCTAGTGCTGCGAGATTAGTTATGTTTCATATAAAGCTCTGTCTTTTTTTACTCGTCCCCAGGACTATTTAACTAACGGACACAAACCCCCTACTGTGGACAGCTCACAAGACTACTATCTTGTACAGACGGGCACATCTGAAGTAAACGGCACTACCACAGTTCGCTTTAAAAGAAAGCTGAACACAGGAGACGACAAGGACATTGTTATTAAGGTACATATATAACATATCTTGCCAGCTACATTTCAATAARCAYCCTCGRGAGCCGAAGGGTAATRTTCTGTCACWGTGAGGGCGAATCAATRACAAAAGATTGCCCCTGGTTCCCCGAGGATGGTCTTTTTTCCATTTCTAATGGCGCATGGCTTGTTTTTGGCGCATTGCATCATGGAATTGACGAAATGATYAAGATGGCGGGTATTACAAGCTTGCGGAGGACGCACAGATTCTTTGAGAAAWTAGTATTATTAATCGCTTTGGAACAACATTAAAAAAAATTTCCGCACACTAGAGAATAATCAAAGGCCTGTCAGACAAATTATGTGTACAACATGGCTCAGTTTCTGATTTCGCCAATTCCATCGTGCATCTCTGTCATTAAGGGATCGCAAGTCGTTCCCAGGTCCTTTTTCCTTCGTTTGGCTCCAAAGGACCTAGGAACGAGGTAGGAAAGAACCATCGACTCTCTGTATGTTCTATACTGAGTGTGCGCAATCGAATTGCGCGTAACTTCCCACACGTAATCGGTTTTCATCTATATTTTTTTTCAGCCTGGTAAAATGTGGGTTGTATGGGCTTACAGAAAGTACGACAACATAAATCAGAAGCACGACAAACGAGGGTACAAAGAAATCACACTCATTTCTGGAGGAACTAACACGCGTGCTGTTGGTTGGGTATTACTGCTGACCGGACTGTTTATTTTTTCCTTCCAGTATTACAACTGATTGAACCATATCTGTTATAGTTTAGTTTGACTTTTTGCTAAAATGTAGCATAAAACCTACACATTATAGGTGTCAAGGTATATTCAGTATAGGTTAGAGAACAGTCTTTAGATCAATTTTTACCAAATGAAGTAATCTTAAAATAGGAAGTGCGTCACGTTTGAAAATAATCTAATATAATGTGAATATTATGATTTTGAAGCAATATTTAAATCTAAATAATGATTACAATTGTTTGAATTAGCCTCCTTCGCAGGCTACTCCATCGGAAACGGACATATTTCTCTTCTTGGTCTTCCTGTGTTCATATTCTTGACCGAGAAGAACTGGTGTCCAGAGATTAGSAACCGCAGCTTTTTTGTCTTAACACAGAGTTGCCTGCGAAGGAGGCTATGTTTGAATAATTTTTHTTTTCATTTTTGATAAGTGATCAATCATTTGTTAAAAGGAGATTGTCAAATTAAAATTAAAGAAATGACGTCATCACATAATTTCGTCACAAAACATTTGCGCGTGCGCAAATATTTCTCAATCTTACGTCACATGCAGATAAATCTTGGAAAATGATTTATCAAGATGACAAAAATCCCTAAACACAAGGTTGTATTCATTGGTGACCAAAGCGTCGGYAAATCTTCGTTGGCCGGTCGGTTTATATACGATGTTTACGAGGAGAAATACCAGCCGACCATCGGAATCGATTTTTTGACTCGTTCAGTAAAAATAGGTGAGTTTATTATTTCACTACACACACATATTGTTAAATTGTTATTGGTTCGATTRTCTTCGCTTCATCTAAAAAATCGGTCACTTGTCATTGTTGGATGGTAAAACCTGCGAACAACACACATTCTTATTGGTCGCTTAGGGACCTGCTAGTGTCTCACTTATTAAAAATCTCGCACATATAGAAACTTTGTCTATGAGCACCTTTTCTTCAAGTGTGCTGGTCAATAGTGCAATCACTAGCTGATTTTGCAAGCAGGGTTTGTGATACGATGCGGACTTTTGAGTTGATGTAGTGCGGGCATTTTGTAGACAAAATCTAGAACGGCGCGAGAATACTTCAAGAAAGATACGTGGTTTTCATAGTGTTGTCTGCTTTCTGAAGAAAGCTTTTCATACTAGCTAAGAAGCCATTTGAGAGAGGAAAAATGACGCATAACCAATGATAATATTCATAAAGTCAGCGTATCGACGTCCGCGTCGTAAAAAAATCCCTGGTTTAAATCAGTTTAGTATAAACATACTAATGGTCTATCACTCATACTGCGCTGTGATTGGTTACTCTACTAATGGTCTAATTTGTGATAGACCACTCGCGGGAAAATCAAAATGGCAGCACCTCATTAATAAATTATTTTAAGGACATTTCAATTTGTTTTCATTATTTGACCGATTAGTATGTTTATACTAAAACAATTAGACCTCTCGGCCTCACGGATTCGGCCTTATGGGCTATTAGCTCGTAGTCCACTCGACCTCGAGGTCTAATTGTTAAATATAAAGTAATACATTCTTTGTTTTCAACAAAGGATTTCTCATTAGTATCTATTCTTCATTCCTCCAACATGGCCACCGGTTGATCTTTTATTTTTTAAATCTCATCAATATAAAGGTAGCGCGGGAGTCAAATCTAAGGACTTCGGCTGTAGCAACCGTTAAATGCCCGTTTTAATGCATATTTCATCCTCTCTCAAGATGACTTTGATGTTCGCTTGCAAGTATGGGATACCGCTGGACAAGAGCGTTTCCGTTGCTTGATTCACAGTTACGTACGAGACTCCGAGGCAGCCCTTATTGTATTTGACGTCACTAATCATGCGTCATTTAYTAATGTACGTCAGTGGATCAGTATGGTGAGGCAGGAACGGGGTGATGACGTCATTGTTGTGATAATCGGAAATAAAGTTGATGACGTCGATAAAAGACAAGTAAGAATTGATATATTTATTAATAATCAATATTAAGAATATCTGAAGCTAATTGTAAGAACCTTTTTACACGCCGAACCTCTAGCTTCTCATATCTTAATTATTAATCACGGTGAATGGAATCATATAAGATGATAAAATCAAATTACATCGATGTCGGAACATTATACAAGCGGACGAAGGTTCTGCGTTTGAAACCGACCTTATTAAGCTGTAAATAGCTCATAAAATGCTTGAGGGGAAGCTCGAGAGGGACGGTAGCCACTGCAAGGTATTCAATTAACAATCTAGTGGCTTAATTGACGCATTTCTGATGCCATGCGTGGCATGTAAATTTTCAGTTCAAACAGCAGATTGTCAAGAAACGGTTAAAATAACGTTTACAGGAATGTGAGTGAGTGAGTGAGTTGAAATGCACGCGCCAATACGCCTTGGATCTTTCCTCTATATCTCTGAAAACTGTACTACTGTTTGCAATTTTTGAAATACATTTCGGTATGCAATTAATTAGTTGATATTTTGCGCAGCTAAAACAAATCGATGCTCTTTTTTCAGATCAGTTACCAGACTGCCTCAACGTTTGCTGAAAGCTATGGCTACACTTACATAGAAACGAGTGCGCGCACAGGCTACAACGTGAGACTTCTCTTTACTAAGCTATCCAAGGACCTTTTAATAAGACATTACTCCAAGTATAAAGTTCTTAACGAAGAAATCAAGTTAGATGATACGGAAAGAGTTATTTTTGATAGAGCAACTACAAATGATCTTCATAATAAATGTAATTGCTGAAAAGTGTGTTTTCACTGTTTGTAATATAAACGCGGGACTGTTCAGTAGGTTCGTGGTATTTTTAATTCGTCTCGTAATACGGAATGCGAGAGCGCGTTCCTGGATTTTGAATTCCAGCTTTCGAAGCTCCTGGATTCATGAAAAGTTGGCAAGGTAAGGATTCTAATTCCATGGATGACCTGGCCCGTTTCGCGTATGTTTTTACATGCTGCATAAAAGCGCAAATACAGAAHACGTTATTTCATTTTATTTGGATTTTTATTGAGTAGTGTCAATAAAAAATCATTCATTCTTACTATGACGTCACATGACGACAATATGTCGTAGCAATATCTTGTTTTACACATTATTAAACGAATTTTCTTCAGTCGTTAAGTTGAGTCTAAGCGAATCTCCACTTTGAGTCAACTACCAGATATCTATTTTTAAAATTTCTTTTTAAATGAATTTAGTTTTAAAAGGGGGATCATGTGATCCTGTAAACCTCTTTGTGATGACATTCATTTCATTCAAAAAATAAACATAAAATTCACATAATTTAGAAAAATACATAGTTCATGGTATAACTTCATCCATTTGAAATCATTAGAATTATGAACAATGAAGGTGTTACACTTTACCCGTGAAATACTTAGAGACTAGAGTGAAGACATTAAACCCGTGAAACAAAACTTGACTATTAAAGTGTGATTTAACAAATAGAAAAAGTACGCACGAGACGCAGTCGAGTGCGTGACTGTTGTTCTCACTACATTTTGACGTCATCTGTGTATCTATTAGTCAAGAGTACACACGCACGGAAAAATGAGATCTATCTGTTTTATACAACAAACAATAGTTTTAAATATTCAGTTTTGTTCCTTCTACGTGTGTTTTAATATTCCGAGCTTTCGGACAACTTGTCCATCATCAGGGCAAAATGAAATTACAATGCGTGCGCGAGGATACAAGTTGTCCGAAAGCTCGGAATATTAAAACACACGTAGAAGGAACAAAACTGAATATTTATAATGAATCCTACGTACGAAAACATTTTTACAAACAATAGTTTTGACGTAATCCGTGTATCTATACTTTGATAACACACGAAAGCCAACCAATCAAAACGTCTGATTTTACTGAAAAGTTGTATAAAGTCAAATAGGCATCAAAGAAAACAATGCATTCTAGTCATCAGGAGACCTATTTCTATAATAGCTTAAATCAATTGAGAAATAGAGCGGATTTCGTATGAGTGGGACACCGTTACCGCACGGTTACCGCACAGTTATCGCACCTGGCCTGCAGAATTTTGGTGAACCAATGGGGCACTAGAATTTGGTTACAGTACGATTACGGACACAGTACAGTACCGTCCGTTTCCCACTCATACGAAATCCGCTCTATTACACAGGCAACACTGTCAGTAACACACAGCCTGCAGAACAAAGACTGTGATTTGGTGAAATAACAAAGAATCACGAGCAATAAAAATAACAAAGATGTCCTGAAGAACAATGGACATTRTTTAATTTAATCCCTCAATTCTTTTTTTTTTCTGTTGTCTCACTCAATTACAAGATTTGTTCTGTGAGTTAAGTTTCCCCGAGGTATTATCATGGTATTTATGGGATATATTTGAATCTCAAAYGCCTCTGCCCCAGGATGCTCTCTACTGCCATTTGGCAATTCAATTCCCTAATTTACCCAATCAATAGCCTACCTATTTTAATACATCTGACTGGAAAGAGGCACTGACTTGCTTAAGGACAMAGCATGGCTACTGKTCAAGGAATAGGCAATGTGCAGCAAAACCATGAATTCAAGGTAGTTGCAGTCCATGCACTTGCTAAATGTCCTTCTTAAGATGCTCTTTCTTTCTTTTTTTTTTGAAAAAAAATTAATAGTTTGAAGTAATTTGTGTCAAAGAAAATACAAAAACGGCTTTATAGACATACAAAAAGTGCAAGTACTACAACTTCTATATGATGATTTCTTGTTCAAAATTTCATTGCTGCATATTGCCTATTGAATCCAGGTCCACATAGACTGATTCCTTTATTGCCTGATCATTACACCTCTTTCTATAGCAGGCAGAGMGTATTCTATAGACAAGGCTAAATCTTCCACTAAATAATAATTTGAATAACTATGAAATTGTTTTATAACTCATACATTAAGAGTTTCTTTTGTTGAATGTTTTGCATCCCAAGCTTTCTGCTTGCCTTTAAATCTCTGGTATAAAAATACACCTGATGTGACAATGATTGTCCCTAAAGCACTTAGCGGYGATACTTGATTACCAAAAACCAGGACGGAAACCCAGATTAAGACCGCCCTCTTGGCTGTATTGGAAACACTAAAAAAACAAATGAATAGATYAATGACAAGAAACTGAAAGTGAATGAAAAAATGGGTGAGAATAAATGAATAGGAGGGAAAGGCATTATAATTGAAATTCTTTTAAATATTATTAGAACACTGCTATTTGAAACATTTTTGCTCCTGCTAATCAAAACTCTGTCAAGTGAAAGTTTTTGATAGTCCTCTGTTTTCCAATCCTGTTTTCAACAAAGGACTGAAACATCATTCTGTTAGAATTTGRAGTTTATGACCACTGGTTTTGAAGAAAGAGTCCCAAAAGCAGTTTGGTGAGGTTTGAATACTCCAGTTTCGAGATCTTATTTGTGCAGCCTTAACCTCAAAAGCATGCATAAGTAATTTTTTTTTTCGGTCTGGTATCCTAGTCATTCGCATGCTGTAAATGGCTAGCACACGGTCTGGTTTTCACCATCTGCGCTCGTGTCCGTACTGTCAAGACCTCGGGCAGTGTTTTCCTACACGGAACTCCCAGCTGGTWAATAACATAATATATATTCTTTTATTCAGCAGAGATCATTATTGTAATGCAAACACTCTGTTTACAAAGAAAATAAAAATTTATGCTTGTTTGATGCTAAGCTTGCACACAAAAAAATCGAAAACTAGAGTATTACTTGCTGCATATTGCTACACATTGTTAAATAATTATACAAATGCAAGTGTACAATTATGAAGGGTGGATAATGTTATCTACTCCTTAGTTTTTTTTATTGAATTTTATCTGCTGGATAAAGATTTATCCTGTTGATAGCACTATCCACCCTTGATACAATTGCCCTCTGAATTTAATGTTGCAGTTACCTAAATGTCACAGGTGATATAACTGACATRAGACCATATGCCGTAAGACTTTGAGTGTAGAAGAGGAATGCATTCAGTGATAACATTAATATCATATAATAATCCATGGATATGAATTTGAGCTTGATGTCCTTCAAAGCAATCAAAATTATACATATTATAATATTGCTAGATTGACTACAAAATTGCACAAGTATTGTCTTGGATTCCCACCAAACAAACTGTTGTCGTGTCCAACATTGTGTTATATAATATATATTATCCTATTTTTTGGAAAGTCTTGTATTTCAAAGACTTCATTTGGCAGGAGCATGAGCAGAGGTTGCTCTAAATAATCTCCTTCACGGTTAGCTGCGCCATCTTGAAAGGTAGCCGTGCCTTTACATCGAAGCAAGACAGCCGTTGAGCGTGCAATGATAGATACCTGTGAATAATTGTCTGTAGTTGGGAAAGAAAGTTTCTATCGTGGCACGCTCAAYGGTTGTGTCGCAGGGAACTGTGAAGAAGACTATTAGTGAAGGATGGACGATTGAATGGATAAAAGAATAAATGAATAAATAAATGGTGATTGGATGGATGACTAAATGTTTTAAAGTAAAAGATGGTTTGACAATCACTTGCATGACACATATAATACAACTTTCTGAGCTTACGGTATAAACAAACCACAATGGCAACTGCACGATTATGGATGCTGCACTTGTATAGAATTGAAGTTCTGGAGGACTGTAACAAAAAATGTTTTATATGAAGCTTATCATCAGTTTGGTGATACATGTATATACAAGACTTGAGATTCACCCACCCTCCCCTCCCACAATAWAATGCCATGTATACTGCTAGGGGTGTCAAATGGAGAAATCCGAGCCTCGCAGAGCCTGTGAGCCCCTCGTCTTTAAATCTGAGCCCGAGCCTTTGGCTGAACAAGTCCAATATTTCTGCAATTGCGAGCTTTTGAGCCAAAAGGGATTTTAAGTCAAGCCTTGGGAAATTTTTGACAATATCACCTTGCGATTTCTGATACACCATTCCATATACCCCAACTGCCGAAAAAGATGTGAAACATATCAATGTCACTAATATTTACCTATAAGGCTGTTCACTAGAAAGAAGCTTTTTAGAAAAGACATTTTGTATACTGTGGAAAAAAAGAAAACTCAGTATTATGTATTCAGGAACAACAACAAATGACTGGTTTGTTACATTAATATATACATTCTGATTGATGGCACTCTATTGCTAATGATTGTTAGTATGTCTTGCAATTTGTCTTGGCTAGTAAAGTGATTGCACTTTACCTTGCAACTGTACAAAATCTAAGTAGTACTAATTTGCCTAAAAGTGGACCTGAAGCAAGAGGGTATTAAATGCTTAATTTGCATCACTTCAATTTAATTTGAATACTGCATGCACAATTTACTAAATACAACTAAATAGCACTATTTAGTTTGTACAGTTTTACAGTTTAAGTGCATTCACTCTAGTGTAGCTATGCAAACAAAATGGTTTATCCTAGTAGATAATGGAAAGATACTACCAAGTCTATAAAATGCTATAGGACATAATGGGCATCAGGGCATGAAATCCTATTGCAATCATTATTCATACCAATCTATAAAAATGTTCAGTAGAGCTGCAATGAATCCCATCATGTTGAAGCTAATCTCATTAGCTGTGCATAGAGCAAGACCTCCTACTATTGGTATAAGTGTTAAATTCACATGTATGCTCTGCTTTTCTCCTGAAAGTAAAACATTTTCATTTTATTTTTAGCAAATTAAACAGTACAGTAATACAGTATTGCACTGCACTTTGAAGTACCTTCAGCTGGATACCTATACTTTGTACACATCAATTGAAATGATGGTAGAATTTTAAAACATCTTTCAATTGTTGGTTGTATTTTTCATATTTCTAGTACGTAGTTTGCTGAATCAACCATGAATAATTTTAAAACTTTATTCCAAGCTTTCGACCTAAGCGGTCATCTTCAGGGAACACAAAGACGTTACGTTGCTACCATAAACCTTACAAAGACTGTTGATGGTAATCATTAACAAATGTGGCTTACCCAGCATTATCCATGCAAACAAAGCAGTAATCACTGGTGAAGATGACTTGACAGTTTCAGTGAAAGACACTGGAACATACTTTAGACTAATTAGAGAGCACACAACACTTGAAAATCTGCAAAATGATAAAAGCATTGGATGGACTTTGTTGGTTACTTTTGAGGTACCTCTTTATCTTCAGATAGGACAATCTCAACCAGCCCCACTGATAAGCCAGTGGATAATTTCTGTGAAAAGCTCAATGCATGATTGATACACCTTTAGAACTAGCTGTGTGACCATAGAGGCACCTCCCCCCCTCTCCCCTTCCCCCTCCTATCATGCCATAAGCTTTAATGTACAACATTTTCAAACCATTAGACCAATTATATTTCAAGGAAAAACTGCTCCATCTGAGGGGCAAATGAATTTATTGTAACACCCAGAAGAAAAAATAAAGTTTTGTTTTGTCCAACACACGAAGATGCCTTGATGACAAACAAATTGTTTCCCCTCTTTTCACATCCCCCCACAGACTCATGTTCCTCCTAACAAAGTTCTGAAGTGCCCACCTGTACCTCTGACTTACCTTAACCAGCCTAGAATCCCCATATTCCTAATGAAATGAAAATGTGTAATTTCATGGTGTCCATGTGACGACCTCTGGAACAATGCACAAGGAATATACATTTTGAAGGCACCAAATATGGCTGTTCCAAGCATTTGTGTTTCACCAAGTATCCCTGCGTCGCCATTCAACTCACTGAGTATGTATTTGTTAGTAAACATTGATCCGAAACTAAAAATATACCACAGTGTCATCATCACCACTTGACGAACAAAAATGTCTGACTTTTCAAATTCAAACTTTGGTTTCATTTCAATGTTAATGTCCTTTTTCTCCGCAGGGATAACCGGTGCCATACTCATTGGTATGACCAGTAAACTTGACTTTAAATTAAAAAGCTGTAGTTATGGATATATTATGAATTTCTCAGAGTAATTTTTGCAGTTTTTACTGCAGATGCTGTAGTAAGGATTTTCTTGTTAAGGAGCATAGCTCTCCTTAATCTTGAAAATCATTGGGATTGATCATTGGTTATCCATGCAGTTGAACCCTGTAAATGAATCAAAACAAGTATATCAGAGATCACTAACATGGACTTCCTGTGGCAAGGCCAATCATGAACAACTGATGGCTACTATGGCTGCTATTTGGGTCCCACATGGTACGCTACATGAAACCACAGCTACCTGAGCAATGCCTTTTTGAAATCTAATATTCACGCCAAAGATAATACTAATTGTAGACAAGGTGTTCCACGGGAAGCCCATATGTAACATCTTTTAGGAATTTGGAAGGGGGAGATCTGGGAATTTTCAGCCAAAAATAACATTTTGGACCCTTAACAGCCCTTTTATAGTTTGAATTTTCACATGGCTTTTCTTATTAAGGAAAGTACTTTAGATAAGTTAATTTTATTGAATCAGTTTATAATGTACACATTTGTGCTGACTCATTTTTGAAAAGAATAACGCAGTACTGAAACTGGCTATTACTAAGGTTAACAGGTTAAAGAATAAGTTACTAACTCTAAGATTTATTCGTCAAAGCACGACGTAATACGACACAAGCCCACAGTGTTTAAACAGTGCGATACATCCAAATTGTCACTGCACACAGCTATTCCAAATGTAAACAAAGAAAGGTACAAGTTGGAAAATATCGGCTGTCCTGACGCAGACAGAAAATATGGAACTGGTGACCATCCACACCATTCAATTTCAAGAGGATAACGAGATGAAGATCTGTGACTTCAACAATATCTTAGACATAAACAAATAGTTCATTGTCTSTAGAGCCCTACTAGATTATGACTTACGTTATTGACACGTAACTCCACACTTATACTTACGGGCAAGGATCCGTTCCTTCACTTGTTTGTTCTCAAAGAAAAGTCACCTCAATTCAATGAAAAATACCCACATGTTGAAGACCAATTTACGCATCAGAGATCACTTATGTTATTTTCTTGTTTTCCCCAATTGCATTTCAATTAGGAAACGCGTTTTCGATTTCAAAAGGTCACTTTTCAGCCGGTGGAGTTCACTCAATAATCACTCGTTCGAATGAGTTAATTTCCGAACACAGGAAGCCCAATTTGGTAAGTGGGTTTCCTGTGGCGCGATGTAAAATGGCGGCTGGAAGCGTTCGGGATTTGTTTGGAGGCTCGATGCGAATTTTCATTCCTCCCGAAGCCAAAGATGTGAGGTATGGTTTGAATATGTTAACTGAGTTGTTTGGTAGGTTATTTGCTGTACTATTTGTGGATCAAAAGAAATACAAAGTATAAATTTTATAGTTTATACTATTTATAAGTTAACTTACTGTACGTTTGTCACACTCTTCGCGTGATCTTGAGGAGGGGATGGCCTGGCCGCTTTATCCCATGAATGAAACAAAACAAACAAACAAATGTACGTTTGTCATCATCATCATCATCATCATCATCATCAGCGATCGAAGGCAGCAGCTTTCAATCAACATTGTCTTTGATTTTTTTTACAGAGACATGTTTGTACTGTAAATTTATTAAATCTATGTTTTTTCTTCTTAAGTGAAATCCGTGAAGTTCCTGACAACCAAGAAGTATTTTGCCATCCTTCGACTGACCAAAGTATTATGATTGACATTCTTGAATATCAGGAGCATGTCCAGAATGAAGAAGCCATAAAGTAAATATTAAGTTAATGTCATATTCTGAGCCTCCTCTGCAGGCGTCTGTTTCCTTTCTTAAAAATAGGAGCCGAGGGAAATATGACTTTGATGCAAATAATGTCTGCAAGGGAGACTAGTATGAGTGAGGGCTTTTCTTCAATACTATTACAACGGAGACAAAACTTGTAAACCAAAATTATCATGAAAATATGTAGAATGTTCTGGCAGCTCTGGTTGCACATAGGGTGAGAATATCCAGTGCTAATCCACTGGATTCCACAATTAAATGGCACAATAAGTATGTATAATTAGTATAATAAGTATTGAGTTGGTATTTAATGTTGTAATACTTCATTTTTGTAATCTATCTCTAAGCTACACTATTGGGACTTTCAGGTACCACTTTGAAGACATTGCACAATGCAATCAAAGTCTCAATGCTTTCGAGGTGAATTGATTTAGAATTTATAGCGATACTCAATGTTTATCAACAAACTCATTCTTATGTTAATGTGTCTGCAACCATGTTGATCAGGATGACTTTGTTCTAACAGCCAATCATCTTCTGGTTGGCACATGAATAACAAAGGCTCGCATCACATTGAGTATCTCTATATTACTCAGTTTTATCATGAAATAATAAGTATAACAAAAGCACCTCGGATTTTACTTAAAGGGACACTGTCAATGCCAGGATGACATGCGCGAGTAAACTTGAAAACACTAGGCTAGTGTTTTCAAGTTTATGACTCCAAGTTGGCGCGACATAAATCAGCTCGTAATTGTAAACAGATCTAGAATATTTCAAAGTGTGTCAAAAGCACCACAAAATGATTTACCTCGAAGGTCCCTCGAAGGTTATACTTTCAAAGTCCGTTAGAGGTGAGACTGTTACTGCGCATGTTGTTGATTTCGTGGGTCATAGACAGTTTAGTATCAAGATAAAGTAGAATATAGAGATTTAAGTCATCAAGATGTGAGCTTTAATCCGCCATGTTCTCAACTAACATGAGACCAGCATACATTAACATAAATTATGGTAATTACTAAATCTAGCCAATCAACACATGTCATCCATTGACAGTGTCCCTTTAATATTTACCTTCTTAAGCAAATAGTAAAATTGTGTTTTCTCATTTTGAAATAGGTTGCAAGAACAGAATCTATTTCCATTGACAAGCTATCATTAAAACAGTGAGTTGATAAAATTATTTTGAACTAAAAATCATTGACAGTACAATTGTTATTTTCTTGATTTATGTTATGCTATTTCGCTGTGTTAAGGTGCTCTTGTGCCTGGCGGCTCAAAGGGAAACAGTTTGTATCAAAATTCAATGAGGAAGTGAGTAGCGGCAATGCTTATTTATGTCATGTCTTTCTTGTTATCCTTTTTTTTTTTGTTAGTTACAGAAGAGGCTTCAATCAGTACATGTATATGATACCATTTCCTGCAAATTAGACAAGTCCTTTTCTTAATAATCAAGCRATTATATTTTTAATCAATCTATTAAATATTTTCATTCCTTAATTCTCCCTTTTAGGAAGAGGCCAAAAATATAATTGAGATTTCTMTTGCCTTACTCCGTCTTCCCCAGTATTCTACAGATATATTAGTGGTATTCAATAATCCCATTACGATCAGGTAACTACAGTTAGTATTCAGTTTTTGGGAAAAAATATTGCAGACTTGCTAGACAGAGCAGCCAGCTCCTTCYCTAGTCTGATCTTGATATAGAAGGACTCAAAAACTGTCAGACAATTAACATGAAAATTGTCCTTATGCTGACAAGGTCTCCTGAATCATTGTTATTCAAAATCTCTATGCTATGTTTTTTTTTTAAATCAGTCTGATTCTTGCTCTGGCAACATAGAAAGTGTTTCTGGATCTGGCTCTGAATTATATAGCTGCTTTGATAATGCTATGTCCTAAATTATATTATTTATTTGTTTTATACAGTCCACAAAGCAGCAGTTGTGGTAGCASTGAAGGARCCTCAAGCTGGACAGAAGAAACGTTTTATTTTTGTGTTACAAGTCTTTCACTTGWGAATCCTGACTTATTGTCTGGCTAGAACGATAGAATTTTAAAACAAAATTATAATATGCTGAAGTATCATGAATTTAGGAGAAGAAATATGATGAGTTTGAAGTGTAAATGTTGTAAATATTTTTTTTGTTATTTGTGACAGGTTATTGTTAGAAAAACAAAATAAATCATAATGAAAGTTGATAAATATTTTATTTATTATTTTAATTTGTGTTTTTGTAATTCATTTATTTAAATAGGCTTTTTATATAAGAAAAACTCAAATTGAAAGTTAAGAGAATGAAAAAATAAATAAAACGAAAAAAAAGGAAATGAAACAAAAACTCTTTGTAACCGAAAGATTTACCAAGCGTAATATGAAGGCAATAAATTACAATAAGTAAAAACAAAATTTGTTAACAATGAGCTGAACAAAAACTGAAAAAATWAACTGAAACGAAATCCCACTTTGAGCGTCATAACGAGGCAATGTATCACTACGCATGCGCAGTTTCATCTTACGATCAAAACACGTTGCATGAAGGAGTTTGTTCGTAGTCTAGCATGGCGAACGAACAGGGGAGTGTGAGCAGTCGGAGATGGAAAAATGGCAAAGGCAGCTAGCTAACTCAAAGCGCGAAGCCTTCTCAGCCCATATATTTACAGAAGAACATCTCACCGAGGAATTCAAGTAGTTTTGAGTCGTGTTGAAAGGGAAAGTAAAGGATTTTTTTGAGTTTTCGAAGAAGCAGTGGAACGGTCAAAGTGGCGCCCCAAAGTCCATTCAGATAAACAACTTGTCGTAATACTTCGGATTTCAGGAATTGATCGAGGCTGTTGGTAAATATAACTCACTAAGATTGCAGATTAGGGCTTCGTTGATAACGACTTCTGGTAAAAGTGGGAAGTTGTTCGTTTCTTTCTCGTTTATCAGTGACTTTGCGTGGGTTTTCGAGCAGAAGTTGTARCATTTTTGCAGCGGTTTTCGTACATAACAAGCTCATAAATTATACATGACCCTTTGAGATCTGGAGGCAAAAACATGGCTACCCGACACAGCAGAGAGCATTTAAATCCGCTGAAAAAGAAGTTTATCAGTCCAAATAGCAATCGGAAGTCACCAAAGTTCTTAAACATTTCTCCAAAATTTAAGTCAAATCTAAAGGAATTTCACAAACATTCCCAAGGTAAAAAGGAAGGGAATTTAAAGAAGAAACTTTACGAAATGAAAAGGGAAAAACGAGAGAAATATCACYTAGGTGGAAATAGTTCTGACCCTCTTAATTTGAACAGTCTGATTAATCGTGATCCAATGTTGAGTACCCCTCAGGCGTCGCCACACCCAACGCATGGGGATTCGCCCATTGATGTGTGTTTACCTCACCATGACGACGACCCACTCAATTTRAAGTGCTTTCCAGATGAGGATCTAAAGGAGGGWTTGACACCTAAAAAGAAGAAAAAGAAGAAGAACAAGTCGAACCAAAATGACATTGAAAATAAAGTTGATAAAGATGAAAATAAGATGGATGCACCGAAGGATAAAAAGAAGAAAAAGAAACAAAAGAAAGTTAAGGCAAATACAAATGTGCAACAMCAAGGAGATGGTCAGTTGGTAAAAGAAGAAGATCAAGTACAAGGAAACATTGACGAAGAAAGGAAGAAAGTGATAAAGCGGGATAAAAGTGAAACTTCGGAAAGTAGCGAGGGCGAACCTCCAGCAAAGAAAAAACGAAAGTCTAAGGATACTTTAAAGTCTGATGATGATAAAACTGACACTAGTAACTCAGCAAACAATGAAATGCCCGAACAAGGTGACAAGCTTATAACGAAAACTGAGCAAGAAACAACTATAGTCGCTTCTAGTAATAAAAAAGAYACCAAGGAGCAATCAAAATTGTGCAAACAGAAACCCCAAAGCAAAAAGAGTAAAGTTTTTATCTATGGGAACTACAATCGGTATTATCATTACCGTAATCCACAGAGCAGTGAAGATTTACGTCTGAAAACATTCAACAAAGACTGGTTCTCTGGTAAAGATGTCCTWGATATTGGTTGCAATGTAGGAGATATTACCATCTTTATTGCCAAGCAGTTTGAACCTCGGATTATTATTGGCAATGACATTGATAATTCTCTTATTAAGATTGCAAAAAGCAAGTGTCAGGCYTCGTTRCAGAGTTCGGATTCTATTGCAAGTAACTTAGGGAAAATGAAATTCCCAATGTCATTTAGGGTTACTAATGGCCCTATTGCYGTGCCAAGGMTTCTTGAGAAGGAAGAAAAACCACTTTTCCCTAACAATGTTATCTTTAAACAGGTATGTGWAAGTCTATCATCTTTACTATTATTGAAGTACTTTCAGTAACATGTACCTATAATGYTGAGCTTTGCACTGGTAATGGGCAATTTGCACAACASCATCACATACTACCAAGACCAGAATGCCCTGCTTACTTSTTTGTGTAAGAARTAGATCTAGTCCCAGTTGATTTACTTATGTAATATTGGGACTAATWGCACATAAARGTGGGTTAAACATTYTGGTCTTGGTAGTACATATGATGACATAATGCAGTGGCAGGGTTTCTGGAATTGAAAAATCGTTTTCAAGGATGCTTAAAAAGCCCTTGAAAATGGGAAAGATCGAAAAAAATCCCTGGAAAACTCTTTGAAACTAATGAAATTGACATTGCTTTTTAGCTTTTGGATGAAATGGGGCTTTTTTGAAAATCACCTCTGAAAACGCCTGCAAACACCAACACATATCTTCAAAAATAGTCCTTGGAAGCTTAAAAAGTACTTGAAAAGTCCTGGAATTTTGAAGTGAAAATGTAGCACAAACCCTGAAAGGCTATTCAGAGCTTGTGATACTGCCAGTCAGAATAGTTGATCATCTCCTCCAACATATTTAATGATTTTTTCATATTTTTTCTTTTAGGAAAATTATGTACCTCCTGATGACAACTGTTTAGCAAATCAGAAGCCRATGTATGACACCATTTTATGCCTKAGCGTCACCAAGTGGGTTCATTTGAACTGGGGGGATCAGGGACTCAAGCGTATGTTTAAGAAGATCTTCAGAAATCTAAGACCAGGAGGAAGACTTATTCTCGAACCTCAGCCTTTTGCTTCATACAAGAAGAGGAGGAAACTAACAGTGAGTTTGTAGTATCAACGATGGAAAGGAAAACAATTGTAGCAATATAATGTAATATAATATAATAATGCTGAAAATGTTGGAAGGAACTCATGTCATTGGAAGATAACCAGGAAGCATAATGCTGGGGATGGCTGGGAGTCATTTAGTGTACATGTACATGTGATTTCTCATTATTGTATTTTCATCTTTGTAAACCAGGATAAAATCAGAGCCAACTACAACAGCATCTGTTTCAGACCTGAACAGTTTATAGATTATTTACTCTCAGATGATGTTGGCTTTATTGCTTACGAGGTTTTAGAAGAACCACAACATGGGGCACCAGGTTAGTACAATTGAAAAGTTCCTTGAAATCCTTGAAAAGTCCTGGAAATGAAAACTTAATTTGAAGGGCACTTRAAAAGCACTGGAGATTGACGAAAACACTAAAACTTATGGAATACCTGCTGAATTCGATGCGGTTTACTTGTACAGTGCATTTGATTTTAATCAAATATCAGAATTCTACTGATAAATTCTACTTGAAAGTAGTGCCTGAAAATTAATTTTTGTAAAAAGTAATTGAATAATCCTGGAATTTTGTGATAAAAAGTAATCACAAACGCTGAATTGAATTACAATGTGTACTATCAAATTTACCTCAAGTGATAAAGCTTTTGATCTTGTGACTGGGAAAAAATGATGAAGTTGTGACTAACCCTCCAATATTCAATACCATCTATCTAGTAAGCATATAGTTTGAAATTTTATTCTCTTTTTTTTTAGGTTTCAGACGTCCTATATATCTCCTTACCAAACCAAACGCACCAAAAAGCTGAGAAACTGGACTTGTGTACTCATTTCTTTTGAAATTGGATACTTTATTAGAAATAAATAAACTTGTAAATAAATATTATTCTTTTCTGTCATTTAAGAACTATTAATTTTATCAAGAATCTAAATCTATTCTGACCAAATCTTCAGTTTACAGCACACATTTTTCAGACTTTAACTTGGCAATTTTTCAATTCTTCAAAGCCACACATACATCCATGAACGTTTGTGATTGGTGATCTTGTTTTACAAAAATTCACCTGTTTAAAGCTAATTTCTGTTTGGTTCATAATCAAAGATGGTGAATTTTTGAAAGTGAGAAAATCGTGCAAAGGTTCTTTGATGAATATGGACCTGTAAGAGGATTATATTAGAGATCACTGACCAAAATCTCAATTCTCATGACTCTTTTGGTTATAAAGGAGAATTCCCATTTGGTAATTTATCAAGTATGCTGTAATGATATTGACAGACGCACATTGATATACATGAAAGGAACTCAATATGATTGTACCCTAAGAATAAGTCTTTGTGTTATTAAACTGTGCCAAATCTGCTTATTAGAA